TAATAATAATAATAATAATAATAATAATAATAATAATAATAATAATAATAATGTGTATTTATATAGCGCTCTTTACTGGTGTCTCACAGCGATATCAGACAATCAGCCCATCTCCCACCTAGTGATTTCATCGAAGATTCGCATGAGTTCTACGATTTAATCCGCTAAAAGGAAAGGTCGTCTATACGAACTTACTACGTGCTATAGCTACGAGTGAGGTACGAACTTACGGAGTTGGTTACGAGTTATATACGAATTATGCCGAGCGAAGCACCGAGTTTACTACGAGCTTTACGAGATTATGCCCCTTTCCTACATTCACGATTTTTGCTACGATAGAGCACGATTTTAAAAAGTTTTAAAATCGCGCTCTATCGCAGTGATTCGTACTCAAAAAGTTCAAGTTTTACGTTTCATCAAGACGCTACTAGGACGCCGTCAAGATGTATTACGGCATTAATGTGATAGTGCGACGACATTTTTACGAATTATAACGATAGAGTTACGATTTGTGACGACGTACTACGAAATACCAAAATTTTAATTCGACGTCACTACGATTTTACGAAGACGCAAGCACGACGTTAGCATGATTTAACAAGACGCACATCACAAAAATAAACATCACATGACATGACAAAAAAACGACTGTTCAAACACCATCAATATTTGCAAGCTGCTGCTATAGAAGAATAAGAAAATTTGTTGGCTGCTACAGTTTTGATAATCAAGAGTAAGCGTCGGTCACGTCGAATGCATAGGCCTAAACGAAGTGTATGGGTACAGCCATGGCTCTTACGTCGTCCATATTTTAGACAGTATGAACACTTACTAGTAGAGTTAAATTAGAGTAGTAGAGTCAAGTGATAAACTACGGGTCTTGATGGTATCCTGGTGGTATCGTATCTAATCGTCTCAGCACCGCAGCGACGTCTTGGCTTGTCGTAGGTGTTGTTGGTAGTACGAATGGACAAGACGCAGTCACGACAAACGACGACAACGTTACGCCACTCACACGATGCCGCTGCCGTATACCAAGATCTTTTTCACAACTACGATTGAGCACGAATTTTTTTTAACATTCCAAGAAAATCGTGCTCCATCACGATGACATCAAGATCCAGTACGATGCAATACGATGAATTAATTTTGCCCACGACATTTACGACGACGCCATTGCGATTTTTAAAAATTGAAAAATCGTGCTCTGTCGCAGCAAAAATCGTGATTGTTGGAAAGGGGCAGGCGTAACGAGTTTGTATTAGATTCGAGTTAAATACGAGCATTCATGTTCCTGGGGATCGTAATCAAATCGGTGCGCTCATACTGAACTCGTACTCATTTCGGGGTGCTCGCATCAAACTTGTGGATTACAAAACTGCCAACGAGTATTCCGAGTAGTGTATGAGTAGGTAGGAAGACCTCGAGTACTCTACGAGTTACCTACGAGTCTTTCGAGTTTGCTACGAGTTGTCAACTCGTAGCACTATTTTTGAACATGTTGAAAATTAGCGCCACGAGTTGAAACTCTTCTAACCTGTATGCTGAAAAAAACCCTAGTTGAGAGGGGCTTTAGTCTATTGGAACAGGTGGGTTAGGAGGGACTTGAATTGGTAAAGAGATGAAAACTGACGAATGTTTAGTGGAAACTGATTCCAAATCAAAGGTGCCTAGGCGAAGAAGCCCTTAGGCTCAGATTAAGGTGAGTTCTAGTAAAAACAAAAATGAATCCATTTCAGACCGAAGGCCAGGACGCAATGGAACATAGAATGATATAATATTTTGATGGTAAATAGGAGAACATATTTATATATCAAGAGATGCAATCTTGTAAACAATGCGTTTTTCAACTTTAAAGCAATGAAGTTGGTGGAGCCAAAAAGAGACATGATCATACTTTTTACAATTAAACACTAGTTTAGCAGCCTTGTTTTGCAAACTCTGAAGACATTTCAATTCATTTTTGGACGAGAAAAGACGTGAGGATGTGGATAAAAAACCATATCGGAAGTAAGCATGTAACAAAACTAATACAAAATAATATATATTTAAATATACATATATACATATACATATCTATACATATATATATACATTTTTATACATATATATATATATATATATATACATATATATATATACATATATACACACATATATATATACATATATATACACACATATATGTATGTATATATATAGGTGTATATATACTTAGTATGCGTGTAGTCTATTCCGTGGGATTTTGCCATTATTATGGTGGGAAATAGTTTTATAGTAGGCAGCTGTGAAAGTAGCTTTATATTGACGGTTTCGGTGTGAATCACACCGAAGACTTGTTTCCATTGGGGTCATTCTAGTGGTGAATTGGGCAGTACACCGGGAGACAACCCTTTACTCTTTTTCGAAGAATGTACTGCGTTCTTTAACGTGCACATGGGCCAATTTGCATACGAGACCAACGGCTTAAATGTCTTATCTGAAAGGCGGTGCGCTATCGAAACTTGTATTTCAGCCCTCGAGCTGGAACACAAGGAAAGGCAGCGATGGGAATTGAACCGGGGATCTCCACGGTTCAGCGCACACACAGTGGCTACCACCAGCTTAGCCGACTGAGCTAAGCTGCTCTCACATAAATTGAATCGTATTGGTTTCTGAATTTTTCACCTATCATTGTCAGCCAGGCAACGTCAGTGGTTAACCGTTGTTGATAATGTACAAAGCTTAATGCCTGTCTCTTATACACATCTAGATGTGTATAAGAGACAGCCTCTGGTCTACGACGTAATGTATACTAGTAAATCACATGGTACTAACTTGGGTATGGGGGATACACCTCAACTAGCAGCAGCATAATAGTTAACCTTATACGTGCAGATTTAACCCCAGACAGTTTCTTTCATACAACTGACTGAAAAGCTGACACATGACATTTCCTTTTTCGAACGTTGTTTGTGTCTTATATATAGGTTCGTAATTTATATAATATAGATATAATATTATATAGTGCAGTACTATAATATTATATCTTAGTATAAAACATAATCCAAATAAATACTCTAATACCTAACAATGAGCACACTATAATGGGGTGGCTCTAAATAGCCCTAATGTTTCAAAAAATTATATATTAAAAAAAAAACAGAAAATATTTCCTCGCGCTATGCAAAACATAACATGTTAGTGTACATGCAATTTTTACGAATATTATTATGTGTGTCAATTTGTCCAATATCCTGTTTTCTTACTAGTTTGCCAGAAATAACTTGCTCATGCGTTGTTTAGGCGATATTTCGGTTTCAATCCAACTCGGCTACAAACCAACTCTGCCCAAGCAAACTCGGCCCTAAAAAAACTGAGCAACTAACTCGATCTTAACCAACTGAGCCCCAAATCGACTGGCCCACAAGCCAACTCGTCCTTTATCCGATTATTACACTACAGGCCATAATAGAGTAGGCCTATAGACGAACTTAGCTGCGTTTAAATTGAAGTGAGTGTTGCCCCTTTTCAAAATAAATTTCGCCTGTTTACGATATTGTTGTTCATCATTCAAAAAGGCGATACAGTTATTGACAAACATAATCGATAACGCTTCCGCTCTTGAACGTGTTTACTGCCACGATATTAATTATGCCTATTTAATCCTTTACTGAATTCCTGCATTTTATAACAGTTATTAATTTTTTTGAATTTCTGTAAAACGATTTATATTTTATCTTTATTGCTGATAACTGCAATATTTTATATGTATTGGGGAAACCACTATATAGTTGATTAAGTTCGCTTTTTGGTTTTCCTCTCTCTTGCTGTTGTTTCTCATACGCGTCTGTTTGTTCTTGTCTTTTGTATATTTTTTTTTGAGAGAAATGAATTCATTTAAAATGCAATATCTACTATTACACATACTGTACATGCAATATATCGTCGCTCACATCACGAACTAACACAATTAAATTCAATTGTGTTAGTTCGTGAAATAAAAAAAGCGCGTCAAAATACGCGCTGTTGTCGTTAAGGACTTTTTGTGTGGTAAAGAATACAAAATTGCTTGACAACCAATACGCGCTCGTTTTGACGCGCTACTGTGATTTCACGAACTAACACAATCGCATGATTAATTTGCTCCCTTTTATTAGAGACAAGGGAAATTACAGTTGAACAATAGCGAACAATAGGAACTCAATCGGGTTAGCATGCCTTAGTAGTTCGAGATCTTTCCATGTAATTTAACTGTTCCCTTTAGAAACGATGTATTTGACCAATGTTTTTGTTAGAAAATTATAATAATTTAATAATTTATTTTATAGGAAATTAGCTTCAAATCGAAATCCACACAATCATATATATCAGAGAGTCAGTTTTCTTAATTTAGTAAAATCATTAATGAATTCGTCATACATTTATCCTACCATTTTTTTATTTTCTCCAGATACGTCATATATATATATATGTGTGTGTGTGTATATATGTATATATATGTATATATATATATATGTATATATAACTCACCTTTTTAACATGTACTTTTCTTAAATTTCTCTTAGCATTTTTTATTGTTATTGTTAAGCGCATTGAGGCTTTAGCATAATGCGCTATTTAAGCCAAAATCATTATTATTATTATTATTATTATTATTATTATTATTATTATTATGATATATATATATATATATATATATATATATAAAATGTAATATATATTCTCCTTACTTGAAGAAGGGCGAAGCCAAAATCTTATACGTTCGTTTCAAATACATACGGCAATTTTTTGCGTCTAATTATCTGAACCTATAGCTTTACAATAGCCTAAACACAATATATTACATTACTATAATACTATATCTTAATATAAAACATAATACAAATAAATATTGTAATATTAGTGGACCTAATGTTATTTCATAATATTATATTTTACTCACACAAACAACCAATTGAAAACTTACCTGATAATTTCATAGACCATTGGTTAGCTAGGCACAGAATTGTTGCAACCATCAAAAAGAACCCTAATATATTACATTTCCGTTTCATTCTAACAGATTTTAAAAAATCAAGTAGGCCCAACAGCGAAAATTATACGACGTTCAAGTTCTATTTCATTTTCATCAATGTCCCAATGACAAGCTGAAGTACGTCAACAAAAGCGGCATCGAACCGTGCAACGTACCTGCGTCGAGCTGTGATCGTTGTTAGCTGGACAATGTGGCCATCTTTCGTTATTAGGCCATAAGGCATAAGGTATTTAACACGACTTAATGCGCTTACAATATAGACAATAATAGCATTCTATTGGCTGGACACGATTAAAAAACTGGTGTCATGGAATGGCTTCCCAAAGCATATTTTTCATTGTATTCTTTTTAGTCTTAATAATCAGAATAATGTAACTGATCCCGGTGTTATTATTGATAATAGGTCAAAATTTTCGATGCGCCTACCTTTTCTTGGTATAAAGAAGGTAAGAAAAACTAAATACTAAATACGAAGAACTTTACGAAATACGAAGAACTTTATTGCAATCTCAAATCAAATCAAAATTCAAGTTTAACAAAGGTAGGGAAAAACATTTTAAAAACATCACATACGAGTAACATACAAATATAAAAAAAATAAAATTAATTTAATAAAAGTCAATTTAATTAATGAAAATTTAGTTAAAACCTCAACTATAACAATAAATAATTCGCTAAAATTTGAAATTTATGAAATTTTATTTACAATTAATTAAAAAATTTATTGCAACAGGGGAAAAAATAAAATCAATAAAACAATTCGTACCGACACCCCAAAACAAAACAAAAAAAAAAAAAGAATAAAAAACGACTAGCGAAAAATGTCAGAATTACGCATCAGATAAAACCTCGTGTGTACAGGGACGATTTAGGCCTACCAGTTATTGAATAAACCAGCATTTGTTATGGAATTCTTTGAATGCTCGGTTGTGATTCTACGGAGCGAAAATCACGTTGACACCTTAGGTTTTATTATGTCTCACTAGCTTTAGGCAAAATATGTTTTAGCCTGTGCATTGTGGATTTTAACTTCTAAAAATAGTCCCTGCACAACCGCATGGACTATTTTCGTTAATGTTCTAACATACATTAACGATATGGTATTTGCTACTAGTTGTAAATTATTGCTCTACGCGGATGATTCGGCTCTGGTAGTTTCTCATAAAAGCGTTGATTTCATACCAAATCGACTTGAACAGGAACTCAGTTCAGTTAATGATTGGCCGATAGATAATAAACCAAACAGCATAAAAATAATTATTTTAATCCAGAGGCAAATGGTTTGTTTAAAGAGATTAAACCTATAATACTGCATTTATTTTTTGTGTTTGTGTTAGTTATTGTTTCAGGGACCACAATGGAAATAAGTCGGTCGTTTGGCTACATTATTGTGTTTTTATCCCTGAATTCCTTTATGTTATTTTATTTATTGTTGTATGTGATTGTTCGTGAATTGGTGAATTCTAAATAAATTAAAAAAAACAAAAAAACAAAAAACAAAAAAAAAAAAAACAACGAGTGCGCCTCTCCGACAGTAAAGGGATATTTAAAAAGACCTTGCACACTCGTATCTAACACTATTTAATATAACCTCTGAAGCCCTACATTGGATTTGTTCAAGCTGTTTACTCTGCGTTTCAGTGATACATGTTCCCCAAACTGGAGCTGCTTTTTCTAAAACATTATAAGAGAGACTCATACCCGGAAAGGTAGCTTTATTATCCATATGACATGCCTTATTTATGGATAATAAAGCTACATTTCCGGGTATGATTCGCTATTATAATGTTATTTATTTTTTTAACAATTAAAAATAAGTAGACACTTGATTTACGATGTTAAATTTGTCACGCTCTGCAAACCAAACAAATTTCATATTTTACTTCAAATAAGGATCGAGTACCCCGCAAGAGTACTGTAGCTCTTTAATATACAATTTCAAATGGCCAGGATGCCTCGGTAGTTATATAGGCAAAGCAGATAGATGTTAAAAGGTTCAAGCCATTTAGCATTCTCGTAATGCAAATAGGGTGTACATGAACACAAAAGGGCCCGGTGGGATTGTGGGGGTGTTGGGGCGAAGGAACAGCCGCTCCGTTGTTTGTAGCGTTTTGTGGTGTATTTTTATGTCTTTTCTTGGCACAATTGAGTTAATTTCGGAAGGATTTTTTTTTGCTCGGACAGCCTTTGAGGCAAACGTCAATGAAATTTGATAATTCCAACGATCTACCCTTTTTCCATAATTTTTCCAAGTTTTCAAATATTTAAAAATTTATATCATTAAACGTTTTGTATCTCATTAACCAGGTTTTTCGTCAACGTTTAAGAATAATAATAAGAGCGTGATTAACGTTTCTAGTGTTTACTGCACATTTTTCTCCTGTGTAGATACCAAAGTCCGTTTCAATGTCGCAATCCACTGGCACAAAAAGTTTTATCAAAGAATATAGATAGAAGAAGAACGAGCAGCGAGCGTATTTTGCATTACAGAATTGTTACGCTTTTTACCAGAAGTGCCTCATATCATGCGAGTCAGGCCCTCTTGCGGCAGTGTGTGAACTTCCTACCTTGATAATAATAATTACAGGTAAGAAGGTGGAGGGCGGCCTTTTCTAAACATTATATGTATTTATATAATACATTTTTATACGAGTATATATAGAGCATATACTATTATTTTATTTTTTTAATTGAAGACGATTATATATATTTAAGTGAAATATATTCTTATGTAGGCCTATATAAGCCTATGTTTGCATCAATTGCCTGTTATGTCCTATTACCTAAAAACATAATATTACATGATCTACTGTTGATTGCAATGTATTTCATAATGGCTTGTTTCGAAGTAATTACGATAGTTACAATTTTATAACGAAAGATGATTGTATATATGACATTGACATTGATTTAAATATTGTGACCGAAGCAATATCATTCGCCAAAAATAACAAGGCCCCTGGGCCCGACTGTATCACGAACGAACTTTTAAAATACGGTGGTAACATATTGCATTTTTATCTATTTAATTTATTCGGGATTATTCAACTTGAAAAGATACCAAATGAATGGGATATGGGCATAATAGTTCACATTTTTAAGAATGGGGTAATGTAATTATTTGAAAAATTATAGAGGAATATGTCTTACTTTGTGTGCATCGAAGATGTTTAATAGATTATTTCTCAGAACATATCTTCTTATCTTGAGACTAGAGGTGTCTTAACGGAAGTCCAGGGAGGCTTTAGACCTGGTTATAAACTTGAGATATGTATTTTTTAGGTGTATTTGTGTATTTATATGTAAACTGTGTTACGTATTTGTGCATATGTATAGGCCTATGTCTTTTTATGTATATACATTGCGTATTTGTATGTATGTATATAATTTTATAAATAATTTTATAAATATATTTTTAATAAATAATCAATTATGTTTGGTTTGTTTTTTGCGTATTGTAAGATAGATGATTGTCTATATTTTTTCTAGTAGTTTATTTCGGAATTACTAATTAAGTTAATATGTTTTTCAGAAATTATTTTTATGTTCTTTAATTAGTTGATTTACTCATTGCTTCATTCAGAATTTTGTTTCTGATTCTGATTTTATCTCAGTGATTTTGTTTGTCAGTTATATTTCTTGTTTTGCTCCGTTTATATGAATTTGTTGTTTTGGAACGCACCGTCCTACAACGTGTGCCACTGATGTAAAAGTGTACGTTCGAATAAATTATTATTATTGTTATTGTTGTCGCGCTATATAAGTAAAACTTATAATTATTATTATTTTACAAAAATATGTCATGGCATACCGGTAGGCATTTTTGCATTGTATTTAATGCAAATGTGTTGTCAATATATTTTTGCTTTTCGCAATTTTGTCTGTATTTTCGATTTTCTATTTTGAAATGTTTTATTAAGTAACGGTTGGAAAGAATATATGGTGTTAGAAAGGAACTGGAGTGGGGACAATTTGGGTCACGGTGTTGTATACATGAAAGGGAAAGGGGGGGGGAGTGATTATGATTTTGATGTTGTATTTGTTGTTTATCTCTTAGATTTTTAGATTTGCCATGTTTTATATGACGTTAGTTTTTTTGTTTTTTTTTTCTTTTTCTTGGACGCACCGTTACACGTGTGCCCTGTTGTAAAAGTGTCGATTCCAAATAAGGCATACAACAGGGTTTTTTTTTTGTTTTGTTTTTGTTTTTTGTCTTGTCTAAAGCCTGGTTTCCATAAAAAAAAAAAGTCGGTACACGCTCTCGCAGACTCCTTTAGCGACGCTGATTGGTTGTCAGTTCAAACAGGGTTGTCAGTTCAATCAACGCTGTGCAAAGATTGCAGTGAAAACGTGAAACGTTGTGTAGCGATTGTATGGAAACCAGAGCTTAGGGAGGCAGAGTCATAATTAGTGTAAACAAAGAGTATAAATAGAACAAGAGAGCCAACTACGCTCATTGAGAGCGTAAAAAACGATACGCCATACGCAGCTAGTGTAGGACGCCAACTAACGCTTGTATATACTTTTTATTACCAAGTACTCCACCGCGCACGGTCTGTTTGTCTGTTTGTCTGTTTATCTGTTCTCCACAAGACACAATACTTTTGTTTTCTGCTTACTGACTTCATAGCGGGAGTACTTCTACTGCGCTGCACTGGGTAATACAAAGTACATACAACCGTCAGTGGCATGACGTTTTCAAAAACGCTCTCTTGTTATACTTATACTCTAACGATTGCTGTTGACACCGGGTAAATGCAATTATCACTGAAAAAACATTAGTAAAGATTATAAAAGTTGGCACTGAATCAACGCTACAGAATGCAGACTGTCTTTTATTCGGCTTTAATTATGTTGAAATTCAGCATGCAACTGAATTTAAATGGTTATGGTTTGATCCGCTTCTGATATGGCAGATCCATAATATTGATAATCTTGCAGTTGAATTTATATTGCACAACTCTTACTCATATTTTGTAAAAGAAATTCTTGTAAGCTTCTGAAATGCTATACTTTTTTGTGTATACTGCACTTGCGCAGATATACTCTATGCTGTGGTAGTGTAATTTTTCTGTAAAATGGAATGTGTTAAGGTTAATTTCAGTTCATCTTGTGATATTAATAATAATAGATGAATTTATATAGCGCAAATAAACGAGGTCTCTATGCGCTCGGGACTAGATGTTGCACCATTCAATAGCCTTCTCCTCCACTGTGGGTCACTTCATATCCTCTGCAGCCAGTAAACCGGCGCACTTTCATCTGTCTACGACAGGGGCTGAGTGAACCAGTACACCGGGGTAACCCCCTACTCATCTCGAAAGATGTACTGGGTTCTTTAAAGTGCACATAAGCATTTGTGTACTGGGCCTACGGTTTATAGTCCTTATCCGAGAAGACTTGTTCCACCACCAGAGACAGATGATCAATGGATGATACCAACTTCTCCGATATCTTCCGATAATTGACTACCGGTATGTTTAGAGTAATTTTGAGCTATAGTTTGTAAAGTATACACATGCTATATCAGAAATATATTTTTCTAAAATCATTGTTATTGTATTGTATTTGTTATTGATATATTGAAAAGAATAAAATAAAAATACGAAATATATATTCATTATTGTTTATTCATAGGCAAATATATAATACAAGACTCTATTAATGAATGATAGGTATATACAAATAAGTAAAAACAAAAAAAGGAATACACGTAATGCAGGAATTATTTTTCATTAAATTTATGTAGAGTAATTCTGTAACTTCATATAATTATCTATATTCATCAAGAAATTATGTACAGGATAAAAGGTATTGCGCATTCTTCATTATTTATAGAGAAAATATTATTTGTTGTTCGACCAGTTACAGAGACTGAACACATACATACTACCACTACATAGTTTTTACATACTTCCGGCTAACAAATACCACGTTAATTGTTTTTGTAAAATGGGCGGTATTCACATTAAACGTTAGGCCTATCAATTTCATGACACGCTTTATATAGATATAGCCATAGTCATTATTATTATTATTATTATTATTATTATTATTATTATTATTATTATTATTATTATTATTATTATTATTATTATTATTATATACATGCATAGAATTAAAGTGTAAGAGATCCCTGTTTGGTTGTAAAATAAACATGTACCGGTATATCATGGCCGAATCGACGTTTATGTTAAGCTTAATAAATATGAAAATATTGCTTTTTATAGTTATAGTTTTATTATTATTATTATTATTATTATTATTATTATTATTATTATTATTATTATTATTATTATCATCATCATCATCATCACCATCATCATCACCATCATCATCATCATCATTATTATTATTATTAGTATTTACACACAGCTAGCTATAATACATATAAAGAGTAACAGAGCTGCTTATCTTTAACTGTTCCATGTTATAACCAATGGTAGCCATTGGATGTGCACTAAACTATGGGGATTTTGTCTCCTATGTTTAATTTTATTAAGCTCCTCTCCCAATAACATAAACGTCAGTGTTCGGGAAAAAAAACATCTTTTATAGCCTTTAGTTTTTATTGACAGCATGGCCCATGAACACAGGTCTCTTCAGTACAGAATAGGGAATTCTCGCAAAGCTCTGCCAAAATTGATCTCGAGAGTGGCGTTGCAGTACGACTATCAATGGGGGAAGCCCATTCAAACTTTCTAGCAAAGATCTTATAATAACAAGATAGCCTAGCGTTCTTCGCGGTTCAGAAGCGTCCATTCACGCCGAATGCAGGAAGTAATTATAACCATAGTTGTTGTTCAAGATTTCACGTAGATCGTACATGTTAAATTTCAAATGTAATTGTAATTGCAAGAGAACGCCCTACTCTGCATTATTTAACGGAGTTTGCACCTAGAAATCTTTGATTTCTAGTTACGCAGGACCAATGCGTTACTATACTATAAGTTACCGACTATAGACATTGAGTTGATATTATTCTCATAGATGAACACTTTAAGACGTATTCCTTAACAGAGTTATTATTTTTATCGTTAGCATTTAAATCATATCTTTGTCTCAACCTATTCTTTCCTTCAAGTCGTGTACCTTAATGTGGCGATTTAAATTTCCCGATTGTGAAAATCTTTGCAGGCATAGGCGGCATTGGTAAGGTTTATCCCCGCTGTGAATCCGCTTGTGTTTCGTAAGAGTTGAGCTATCGGCAAACGTTTTTCCGCAGTCATTACAGCCATATGGACGTTCACCGGTGTGTACCCGCATGTGTGTTTTCACGGAGGAACTCTGGGGGTAATATAAAATATTGAATTCAGTTAAGTGAACAAGTGAACAGACGCACTTGATAGAGGGCGACAATCAGGAGATAAATCGAATGTACCGTCCCTCAATTTTTTTTTTCCAGAAAGATAAAGGGAATTGTTTGATTCAGAATCGAAAGCATATATAGTTTAATCGTAAACGTATTTCTAGTTTTTTAAATTATTACTGTATATCAAATTGAATAATGCACTGAATGACGAGTTGATTGGCCTATCGGTTAATGCAGGGGAGCTGCAACTTTCAGCCATAATATCAGTGTGCTGGTTCGAGCTGCAGGAACGTCTGTGGTACTGGTGTTAGAAAAAAGTCTTCTCGGATAAGGAATTTAAACCACAGGCCCAGTGTACACAATGGCTCGAACCAGCGCCGGTATTATGGCGGTAGGCTGTGGCGCCCCTGCCTTAAGCACTCCACCAGCACTTGAGTTAAAATTATACTCAGCTGACTAGCACAAGATTCAGAGAAAGCAGACAATGCATTCGGTGCTGGATGCCTCTTTCCAGTACTAAACCTCATAGATTCTTTTATATATACATTATATATATTAAGGGGACACAAACAACTAAATAAATTTCTCTTTAATATGGGTTTTTGGCATGTTTTCATACAGCGATGAGATACATTCTTTATATTTATTATTTTATTCTTATTGACATGAAAATCAGTTACAATACAATTAGAACTAATTTATAGCAATAATTTGCAATCCAAATACAATTCATTTATAATAATATGACATCAGCAGAAATTAATTGGAAAATAATATAATTTTATAGGTTCCCAATATTATTTCATGATGCATTGTTAATGACCAAATATTTTTTTTTAAATACCCAGCTTTCTATTGGATGAATGTAGCATGGATAGAGTAACGACTTAAAATTAAGTGTTCATGTTAGGACTGCTGTTGTTGCAATACAATGAAAACAAATTAAGTGTCCTCTTATTAGGGGTTATTTGACCATTTGGTACACTCACAAAGTGTCTCCGTCCCCTTAATAGGGTGTCCCTTTAATAGAGGTTGGCCGTAGTGTTAAAAAAATATTTTACCTTCGTTTTACGTTAAAGTGTCTTCTTAATAGGGAGAGTGGGTTCTATTGTATTATCCGTAATTATAATTATATAACGTTGAGANNTGAAAACATATAATCATACCATTATTATAAAGCACAATTTATGCATACTATATATTCCACAATACTTTATAATTGACATTTGAAAATTATAAACTCTTCGTGAATACATACATGATGCTGATAACAATGATGGTTAAAAGACTGCGGTGTTACTTGTTATGGAATCCTCAATTCACTCATGTGAACCTTAGAGTGTGTAAGACCATTATGTGGCTACACTCTGAGAAAGCATGCACGATTTTCTACTTGTAATAATAATAAATAATAATGTCATTTTGTTAGGCGCACGTATCCATCCCTACTAGGGGTGCTCACGGCGCCCCTACTTTCAGCCCTTTAGCTGAAACACAAGAAGAGCAGCGGATCAAATTGAACCTTGTACCACTAATAATAATGGATATCATAGAAGAAAAAATAATAGTTTCAAATGCAGATAGTGCTAACAGTAATTTATCGGATTGCAGCAAAATCTCATCCAGGAACATGTCGGGTCGTAGATTATTAGGCCCCAAAGGCTGTGTTCTCACACGGCAGCTAACGGTTAGCAGGATCCGGATCTTGCTAACCGTTAGCTGCCGTGCGTCCATACGACCGGAAGATCCCGATCCGGATACCAACAATATGATGATCTAATCACTGGCCAATAAGAAACTGTAAATTGTAAACGCGTACGTGTGATTGGTTGATGATAGAAACGCCTTCAACTTGCTAACCGATAGCGCTTGCTAACCGTTAGCGTAACGGCGTATACGGATACCGCTAACGGTTAGCGCTAACCGATCGGGCGTTCTCACGCAGGTGCTAACGGTTAGCGCTAACGGTTAGCTCCCGATCCGGATACTAGGGCTCTCGTGAGAACCAAGATTAATGGACCGTTCCGTTAAGTCATATGTGACAAAAAAAATTGCTTCAGTGTTTCTGATAAATTTGATAATGACGTATATTTCACGATATCAAATGTTCTGAGTTGATTTGCATACATTGAAGGTGTTCTGGGGCAAATTCTTAAAACTGCATTTCAGAATTGATAGGAACACCAATACAAAATGGTTATCTTTAGAGGTTATTTTCTTTACAGAATTCCATACATCTACATTAGAAAAGTATCTTACTCCGGTTGTACTCAACATAGGAGCTTGATTTAAAGACCAAAGTAGGGCCTAAAGCTTATCATCTATGTAAATGTTTGTGTATCATGTATGGTACCACAACTTTTATTTTGTGATGACACCTTATAAATTATACTAACATTATGAGGTGCGCAAGAACTAGTTTTTGAATTCACAGACTGTAAACCTTGTTTATCGTCTACGTCTGTTAGATTCCTTATTCTAATTACAGCTTTTATACAAGTATAAGAATTGTTATTTAAAAATTTCAAAGCTCATACCTGGTAATTTCAGCTGCTGGTTTCACTAACATGTTGCCATACTTCTGTTTCTCGGTGTCTGTGTGGACAATCTTCTGTATGGATTGAAGTCTTATATCGGTGTAAGTGGGTAGACTTGGGTCCGTCGACTGATAAAAATTTCTCGCAGATGTTTGTAGCATAACATTGCCGTTGAAAGGAGTACACTGTTGAGTCACATTCCTCTTGTAATTATTTTCTTCAAGCGCCGAATGTTTTCCGGAGTAAGCGAGTCGGGGATTCACCTCAACAACGCCCTAAAAAGTCATCAGTTATGTGAATAAGAAAGTATAATGCATACTCCAAGTATTGAAATACACGCCATCGTGTTGGGATTCAATATTTCGATGATGACATAATTAATGTCAAAATATTGAATTCCAACACGATGGCGTGTATTTCAATACTTGGAGTATGTATTATACTTTCTTATCTGAGATTAATCAGTGGACCTTTCAGTTTTATGTGAATAAGCTTACTACAATCACTATGAAAAAATACAAACGTAGGCCTAACTGATTACATAAAAGATAACTTAAAGCGTCTTTTCATCTATTTTTAAATCTTTCTTCTTTCTACTGAATAAATAGGCCTATGACCTCTCCGGACTATCATGATTACGATGCCTTAGCGCGTTGATTCGTTCGTTAAGCCGGGCACTAACTGGCCCACTGCGTCGTACGACGGTAGTACGACCGTCTCACGACGAATCCAACTCCGCCCCCTGTGAGCGATAGACGACGCGACGCCGTCTGCTGATTGTCTGTCAGCATATGAACAGAATGTCATTAAAAAGATCCGTTGCGCGCGCCCGTAACGTTGCGTAATTCATAGAACCGCGTCGGAAGACGACCGTCGAGCGCAGCTTAACACGTAAGCAATAGAAATAACATAATGTATAAAAATATCTAAACAATTACTATGTGTCTTTGTGTGTAGCTTTCTGCGTTTGAATGATAACATTATATAAAAATCGTAGCCATTTCCTTACATTGTTAAAATGGCATTCATATCTTGATTTGAAAAATCACTAAAAGTCCCCACCCACATTCACCTCCCCCCCCTCCCACCTACCCGGAAATGTTCGAAGCAAGGAAATTACACTCAACGTTAAAAACACGTCATATCACCTTATTATTTGCGATAGCGACCCTTTAGGCCTACCGAATCATGGAGCCCCAACTTCTCCTTGCCCTTCATTGCTTTCACGCTCAATATTCAAGAAAGGCGAGTGAACTTGAAATTGTATACCACTTTGGATTTATATGATTATGATTATTTTTACCTGGGTATATACCCCATCGGAGGCGTATCCTGTCAGATCTTTTTCGACAACAAGCATCTCCGAATGATGATATTGTTGAGGACCAAAAAAGCTCTCGAAATCAGGCAAATGAGTTGAATGTGTTCTGGGCTGAATATATCGGTGTGACAGCAACGTTCCATTGTTGGCCTCTTTGTCATTAGTAGCGTCCGACGATGAGTAATGTATACTTCTAAAAAGGGGAACACATCTTTCTCACACGGCAGCTAACGGTTAGCAGGATCCGGATCCTGCTAACCGTTAGCTGCCGTGTGAGAAAGATGTGTATAAGAGACAGGAAGTATACATTACTCATCGTCGGACGCTACTAATGACAAAGAGGCCAACAATGGAACGTTGCTGTCACACCGATATATTCAGCCCAGAACACATTCAACTCATTTGCCTGATTTCGAGAGCTTTTTTGGTCCTCAACAATATCATCATTCGGAGATGCTTGTTGTCGAAAAAGATCTGACAGGATACGCCTCCGATGGGGTATATACCCAGGTAAAAATAATCATAATCATATAAATCCAAAGTGGTATACAATTTCAAGTTCACTCGCCTTTCTTGAATATTGAGCGTGAAAGCAATGAAGGGCAAGGAGAAGTTGGGGCTCCATGATTCGGTAGGCCTAAAGGGTCGCTATCGCAAATAATAAGGTGATATGACGTGTTTTTAACATATTGTTGAGGACCAAAAAAGCTTTCGAAATCAGGCAAATGAGTTGAATGTGTTCTGGGCTCAATATATCGGTGTGACAGCAACGTTCCATTGTTGGCCTCTTTGTCATTAGTAGCGTCCGACGATGAGTAATGTATACTTCTAAAAAGAGGGAACAAGAAACATTATTTATCTAAAAACAGCCATGTACAGCGCCACCATAGGTTCATTTAAATTTCCTTGTGATTATATCTCACTCAGCTATTTCAATCGTTAATTAGTAGCATTGTTAAACAAGAAAGGTAGTTGACGTCAATCACTATCCAATATGTGAATGTTATTACTCTGTTGATTAATACTCTCTATTTTTAGTTAATCGAGAGCTTACTACCAGCATGTCACACCATGCAGGCATCTGTAGGCATATGATCCTAATGGCCAACGCAGCTCGACGCGATTTGTTGTGGCGTCCGGGTCTATGTTAGTGAAGCTCGGTTTCCATACTATCGGCGACAGTCGCCGACAGTCGTCGGAAAGGTTGAACCTGGTTCAACTTTGCCGATTGCGTTGCAAGCGAATCGGGTTGCCTTCACAACTGCGTCGGAGCAACTAGCAATGCACCCTGATTCGTCTGCAACGCAAGGCTGAACCATGTTCAACCTTCCCAACAACTGCCGGCGACTGTCGCCGATAGAGTAAGCAATTGTATGGAAACCGATCTTCACGCAATAGGGTCGGGGACAGTCGCGTCGTAAAATATCAAATTTTTCTCACGACGACCTACGATTATTCCTGATAATATGCCGCTGTAAGGTGGCCTTAGGCGTGACAGCACTAGAGTAAGTAGGCCTGTTGATGATACAGAACGGTACTATTATTGCCCCTATATCTTACGTTCTCGATCTGGCCGAGCCAATTACATTATTTGTTGTGCTCTGAATTTAGTTTATTGGGACTTTTAAAGTTTAGAATAGGCCTAACTAAAATATTATAATTCACCTATTGGCTCCAAATACATTATTAAAAATATTAATTAATATAGATAGCAATGGCCGTATTCGACAGGTCGCTCTTAAACCACGCCTACTTCCACAGTGGTAAAATTCTACTTAACGAATACGAACAGACGAATAGAAAATTAGTTACCGCGATACACGCTAGCGTAATCAAGGTTGATTCAGCTTGTGGCAGTATGGGTTTTTCGTAAGGAAAAAAAAATTGTTTTCTGTTGGCTACAATTATGTTTTACTTTATGTGGGTAAATATTATAATTATTATTTTCTGAAAATTAATCTAAAATATATTAACGCCAATGTTGTTATTAAACTGACCAATCGGTTGGTTGTTTTGGTCAAGTGGTTCACCTTAATCTCCGTTGTCTATTTTACGAACCAACCGAAATGAAAATAATACTCAACGAAATATTGTGGCAACGAAACGAACCAGTCGAATACGGCCACTTTTTTTGAGCTGTCAAATTTGTTTTATATGTTGTTTGCACTGAGCTGTTTGTTCAATACTAATCAAAATACTATTGATTATTAGGTCTAAACAGGTTTTAAAGTTAGCGTAAAAATTTGTTACCAAATTAAAAGTAAATTAGCACAAACAGTATAGGTGTAATTTTGCCCTGGAAATGTAACGAATACTCAGTACATTTGAAAACGACTGCGAAAAAAATCGCAAGTTGTTGTCGGTTGGGAAGGTAGGCCAAAATTACACCTATACATGTTTCTCCTGACGCAAATCCAGTTATTGTCTATTATTCCATCACGACAATAACAATTACTATCACAATAACAGTGTTATTTATTAACTAAGTACGCATGCGCAGATTATTATCGCGTTCCATTTACGGTCCTTCTTTGTCTACCGTCGTGAACGCTCACACGTGGGTCGAGACGTACATAAGACGAACGGCTTAAACGTTTTTTTCTGAGAGTTTGTCTGCAACCTGTAACTCACAAAACAGAACAGCTAATAATAATGATAAGATGATAATGATGATGATGATGATGATAATAATAATAATAATAATAATAATAATAATAATAATAATAATAATAATAATAATAATAATAATAATAATAATAATAATATTAATATATTTTGACTTACTTGTACACATTTCGTTTCGTTTCCTGATTGATGTCAGCTTGTAAGTGTGTAGTCATATCGACGTAGTTTTCAGGCCGGTGGTGATTTTCGTAGGCGGGAAAGTATGTGTAAACACTTTGATCTACACATGGGGCTGGGTGAAAGGCCTGATGAACATTTCGTAGCTCAGTGTAGACTGAGGGCGGTATGGCCTGCTCAATCGAGAGGGGTGACGAATACATTTGCCTCTGCATTTTTTTTTCTGGATCTGAATTTTTAGATTACATAATGTTAAAATTTGCAGACGACGACCATACATGGCTGTCGGCGTATTTTAGGAGGGGACATGGTCCACCAATGAGAAGATAATAATAATAAGTCATTAAATAAATAAGATTTAATTAATATTATATTAGCGCAGGCGCCTCACGCCTATCTGTACAGGCGGAGTAATATGGTTTAGGTCAGAGGTCATGCCTTTCGGTTAGAGAATGTATCCTAGCTACGAGACGCTCTCTGACAATTAATATGGCCCCAGTTCAGACAAGAGGTGAGTCTCTCTGAACTTTTGGTTAACTTTATCCCACCCCCACCCCCTTTTACTCCGCCTATTTAATTATTGATTAGTATGTAGTTAGTGGGGTGTTTTGTTTTCCCCCATATTGGGCCCAGTTTGGGGCAAATTGTTATTGATTACTTGTCGTGAAAAAAACGGCCATAGAAACCCACTACTGCGTCTGTTGTTTATATGTCTGGTTCCTTCCTGGCCCCAACCGAGTTCAACAAGCCGAAGTCTAATATTTTAATAATAATAATAATAATAATAATAATAATAATAATAATAATAATAATAATAATAATAATTATTATTATTATTATTATTATTATTATTATTATTATTATCGATAAAGAGAATACCCAATTATGAGGATGATTATGTAAAAATAATCATAATCATAATAATAATAACAATTATATTAATTACTATTATTTATATTATATAATAACAATAATATTATTTATTATTACTATTTATATTATTTGATATGATAATATGATATAATGTGATATGTTGTGTGTGTAAACACAACTAATCATAACAAACATCAAAATGTATGCTAATACAATATATAATGATAACGGGCCTACAACAGTTTTATTTTTTTATGTCAGGGCTTAACATTATGAAAGAACCCTATTTGCTACATCCAAGAGATCTAATAACATACCGCAAAACATGGAATAGAAGCCCAATGGGCCTATTCTCGAGATAAAGCCCATCTCAAAAACAAGCCCATGAACTTCTAAGAAAGATAGTATGGGCTTCTTTTCTATTTTTATTGTAGCATGTTTAAAAGAATTCCCACACAAGATCAACACCACTGGGTTTGGTACGGTGAACAGGATTTCGCGCATGCATTTAATTTTTAGAAGCCTTTTATTGAAAATAATATTTAATTGAAAAAAAAATGTATTTTTAACAGGGCTAGGTTGAAGCTAACTCAAGCTATATAGGTTCATTAGAAAATTGTTAAAACAATTAATATATTTTACAAATGTAGACACAATTAATAAATTATACATAGGCCATAAGCCTACTTGTTATTTTATGCTAATAAATTATATTTAATGCTTGATAATACCGTAAAACCTCGAATTAAAGCCCAGTGGGCTTAATCTCGAGATGAAGCCCATCTCGAATTGAAGCCCATCTCAAATTGAAGCCCCCTCTTTAGATCGCAAAATTAGCCTCGAAAAGAAGCCCATCTTAAAAAGCCCATGGGCTTCTTTCCAAGATAGCATGCTTCTTTTTGAGACAGTACCGTTACTGTACACAAATTAAAAATATATATATTTAAATTAAGCTTGGTTTATACAATTATAATTTCGGTGATTTAATGATAGTTAAGTACACTCCATGATTGATGTTACAGTGGCCTTAATTATTGTTTTATAGTACAAATTCAAAAAATTTACAGCATTCATTTTCAAAAGAATTCCTCTTTACTTTGCAAAAGTAGCCTAAAAAAAAAAGCCCATCTCAAAAAGAAGCGGAAAAAAAAGAAAGAAAAGAATAAAAAAAAGAAAAAGAAGCCTAGGGCTTCAATTCGAGGTTTAACTGTATTCATTAATCGGATTTCATACAAAAATCAATACACAATAATCATTGAATAACATCAAATTCCGGTTTTATTTGTCCTCACGGAAACTTATTGCAATTGCTCAAATGAAAATACATAATTTAACAGACTAAAATATTTACGCTATAAATATTACCTCTAACAAATATAGAGATACTCTTAAATAACAAAATACAACAAAATACTTATACAATTTCAAACAGAATTAAACTTACCTCTAGTCCTAATGTTGACCACTAACGATCATTAGAAGAAATGCACATAGTAAACATTAATTAGGAGAATTTATAGTTCTTGGATTCTGGTGAATGACGTAATAAGAAGCTCAACAAAATATTCGGCCAATTACAGCATACGACATTATCCTGACGTCACCAGTCACAACTCTCATTGACCAAAGCATTTGTTTTTCTGATGAACATTATTAAAAATGTTTTTTTTTTTTCATTGGACCTTTCTTTCTATCCTTCTTTTTCGTATTTGTAGAATGCATTTTGTTTATTTACCATTGAAGTAGTTTTGAAATTGTTTTCTTATTTTCTATGTATTTTAATTTTTCGGCTCGCCTCGACGTTCTTATTACAAATAAAATAAAAGATAACGTTTTTTTTTTAATTATTATTATTTTTAAACAAACATAGATAAACAT